AAAAATTAAATTCTTATGCACATCAGAAGACTTCATCAAAAGGGTAAAAAGAGAACCTACAGATTGGGAGAAAATATTTGCCTATGACATATCTGATAAAGGACTTATCTCCAAAATCTACAGAAAACTTCAACACCTCAACACCAAGAAGACAAGCAACCCAATTCAAAAATGGGCAAAAGGCTTAAACAGACATTTCACTAAAGATGATATGCTGGTGGCCAACAAACACATGAGGAAATGCTCACAATCTTTAGTCATTAGAGAGATGCAAATCAAAACAACGAGATATCTTCTCATGCCAGCAATAATAGCAAAGTTCGACAGAACAGAAAGTAACAAATGCTGGCGAGGTTGCGGAGAGATTGGAACTCTTGTGCACTGCTGGTGGGATTGTAAAATGGTACAACCATTGTGGCAAATGGTATGGCATTTCCTTAAAAAACAGAAAATAGAAATACCATTTGACCCAGCAATTCTATTACTAGGAATATATCCTAAAGAGGTAAGAGGCAGTGCACGAACAGACATATACACACCTATGTTCATTGCAGCACAATTCACTATAGCAAAGAGATGGAAACAATCTAAATGCCCAGCAATGAATGAATGGATAACCAAATTATGGTACATTCACACAATGGAATACTATGCTATATGAAAGAACAATGAAGGACACGTGAATCATCTCACAACATGGATGAGCCTGGAGGACATTATGCTGAGTGAAATAAGTCAATTGCAGAACAAATACAGTATGAGCCCATTACCATAAAAAGACAAAGAAGGGTTTGCTTGAGAAGGGGAACTCACTTTGTAGATTACCGGGGTGGGGAGGGAAGGGGAGGGATTAATTTCAGGCTAGTTGGGGGCCACATGCTGACGTGGTAAGGGAAGGGATGGTATAGAAAGAGTCTGTGACCATCATGATAACATTAGGAAAAGGGAGGACACCAAATTGTGCACATAAGATACAGACGACAGATGCTAATATCAACCTGTATATTCACAATACTGCATTACCATTAACACCAAACACCAGGCTACAGATAAACACATAAACATCTGAGAAGATCAGATTGGGGTCAGTGAACAGGAGTATACTTTAGACCAAGGATAGATTCAGCAGAGGCTAATCTTGCACAGATACCAGTGATAGAAAATACCCGCAGTCCTTACAGAAACAACAGAAGACAGACAGACATAGAGCAATCCCTCACAGACAGCCAAACACTGTGGGAGAGAGAGCCAATGGATGAACTGACTCAGGACCATAGTACTGGGGACACTGCACTCAACTGGCACAACAAAATACATTAAAGTCTTGTTCCTCATCCTACACTGGTGAGTAGCGACCGGGGTCTTAACTTTCAAGCGGCCATCTAAGATGCAGCCAAAGTTCTCCTATTGTCGGAAGTTAAGAAGAGTGCAAAAAAAACAAGGGCATTTGGAAGCAATCAGCCCTAGGACACGATGGCTCTCGAAACCAGAAGAACTACATGGTGCCTGGATACCAATGCCATCCACTCAGGAAAGGATCAAATCTGGAGATCCTGGATAGAGTGGGAGGAAAAACATGGAACAATATCCAAAAACACAGTAATGACCAGAATTACTAGTTGGATGGAGCCTGGTGAGACCCCCAATACTATGGCCTTGGGATACATTCTGGGCCTGGAATAAAACTCCCTCCCAGAGGCTGGCTCTCAGCCCAACAGTAAACAAGACAGACCACTCAACCTAGGGTGACGCACCCACATACTCTATGGAAATGCATCCCTTGGCGCAATCGAACACAAGGTACCAGAGGGGCAACATTCATAGGAGGAAATGCAGGACACACAGGAGTGCATAACCATGAGGGGCACGGGGGTGGGTATTACTGGGCAGGGAGGGGAGGAGACTGGGTTAGGGGTGGGGATGATAAATAGGGAGTGAAACTAAATTTACATGAAATGGTGAATGTAAAACAAACTCTGTAAACTTGCACCTAAAACACAATTTTAAAAAAGGTCCTAATATGTATTCAAAAAAAAAAAAAAGAAAGAAAAAAAACTTTTATTGTGATTTGGGTAAAGGTTTACAGAGCAAATCAGTTTTCCATTCAACAATTCACATACATTTTGCAATCCCCATAATGTAACATCACTCATCCTATTTCCTCCGTGTTTCACATTTCCATTCCTCTTTCTCTTCTAACACTTCCTGCCTTCTAACTTTGTCCTTGAGCAAATACTGCCCTTTTGATTGCAAATAGTTGATTGTTCTAAGGAGGCCTCGAGTGCAGTTCCAGGCCTGAAATGTGACTAAGGGCCATAGTCTTGGGGGTTCCACTAGTCTCTCTATAGGACCAGTAAGCCTGGCCTTTTTCATGATTTTGAGTTTTGTTTCACATTTTTCTCCCACTCTATCCAAGACTTTAGCTGGGGGCTGTGGAGGCTGCTTTTCACTTGGGTGTAGCTCTGTATTAAGGCAGGCCCAGGGCTTGGAAGCTGCTTTTCGCCTGGTGTGGCTCTATATTAAGGCAGGGGCCTGAGATAGGCAGCTCAGGGTCTTGGAGGCTGCTTTTCACTTGGGTGTAGCTCTGTATTAAGGCAGGCCCAGGGCTTGGAAGCTGCTTTTCGCCTGGTGTGGCTCTATATTAAGGCCAAGGCCTGAGGTAGGCAGGCCGGGGGCTTGGAGACTGCTTTTTGCTTGGGGGTGGCTCTATATTAAGGCTGGGGCCTGAAGAACCTGAATGAAAACAGCAAATAAGGAGACAAACGGAGCTGTTGGCTATTTGCTAGCCTGATGGCATGACGTTTTGAGTATCTGAAGCAGCATTCTGATCTAGGCAACAACCTGATAACCAGCTCTGCTTGCCAAGGACTGCATGGGTAACTGCACTGGTGGCTGACAACCAGAAAAGTGTAATATTCCTCTAGTACCCCACACCCTCCCAGCGAACAGAGGTATGGCCATCCCCCAGCCCTACTCACCTTCTGAACTGGCATGAATTCCAACCCAGACTGGGTGCCATGCCACCAACTGCCTTCTGGGCAGGCAGGAACTGGTCCCAGAACTAGGTGTCCTATTCCCTGCCACCTTTTGGGATACTTTCTGAGACCAGGTACCCTACACCCAGCCATGTGTGGGAACAGTGGGAGCTTTTTCTGGGAACAGGATCTTGTGCCCAGTTACCTTTTGAAACAGGCAGGAATTTTGTCTGGGATAAGATGGCCTGCCCACAGCTGCTTTTTGAGTTGGTAGGAACTTCTCTGGAACCAGGTGCCTTGCTCCCAATCATCTTTTGAACTGTCAGGGGTTTTTTCTGGGACCAGGCACCCTACACTAAACTCCCTTTTGGGACATCAGGAACTTTTTCTGAGACCAGACACCCAGTCCTCAGCTACTTTTTGAGCTGGCAGGAATCCCTTCTGGAACCAGGTATCTTGCTCCCGCTGCCATTTGGTCCAGCAGGAACTTTTTCCAGGTTCAGATGCCCTGCCCCCAGACATCTTCTGGGTCAGGAGGAACTAATCTGAGATCAGGTACCCTGCCCCCAGTTTTCTTCTGGATAAGCAGGAACTAGTACCAGGCCCAGGTACCCTGCTCTCCACTGCCTGATTGGCCAACAGGAACCTGTGCC